TATATATATATATGAGGTATTCAGTTTGTTATCTTAATCAACTGGATATAACTTAACATGTATAATATAATTGTTCAGGTTTATAATTTTTTTAATCAATTATAAAAAATAAAATAAAAAGTGGTGGAGAAGGAATGGGACCAGATGAGCATGGAAAAATTTATAAAATAGAAGAGGGTCACTGGCATACAAGGACTTGACGCGCAATTTTCAAACCGATCCATCTCCTACGGATCAGGGTTTTATTGAATTTAATTTCATGTCATTTTCCTTTGAAAAAAACTTTTATTACCAGATGGTAAGCCAATGATTGAAACTGTTTAGTTTTCAGGTTCTTTTTTTCACCTTAGATGACCACGCACCATCCAATTTTATCAGGGTTAATTCTTGAAGGACGACGGAAAGTTCTGATCAGAGGCGGCCCATGGGGTGGGCGAGCTGTGCGACCGCACAGGGCCCCCAAAATTTAAGGGCCCCAAATTTTTCAGAGTCAACGCATTCAATTAATTAAAACATGAAAATAAAAATGAAATATTAAATATCACCCCACAACGCCACATGCATGGCCCCAAAAACAAAACCAAAATTGAATTGAATATTAATTATCAACAACTTCCACGACTTAGAGAGTAGAGGCCCTAATTTAATTCGTTTTCCTCTTCTTATTATAATATTCTTTTTTCTTTTGGTAAGTCTCTCTCACTCTCCTCCATCAAAATAAATCCTTTTCTCTTCAGTACCAGTGTACCACCCTCTTCCATCAAATTTTGGATTGTAAAAACCCAAGCTTTAGCCCTTTCCCCAAAATCACAATTCTTTTCTCCCTCCCTCATTCACATGAGAATTCAACGAGCATTGAAATTGGAAAATCAATTTATCAGCTATGTGATTTGGAAGAGTGACTAAAGAAATTTTTCTGGGAAGCACTTTCCAAAGGTGTTCTTCCCGTGTCGGAAAATTTTGTTTCTATATGGATTTTTTTCTCCTACTTGTATATGTAGGGCCTCGACATCCATATTTGCACAGGGCCTCCAAAATCAATGTACCGGCTCTGCTTTTCTTCTCTCTCCATCTCTTTCCTCGTTTTCCTCTCTGCTTCACTTTTTTCTTCTTCCCATCTACATCTCTTTCATCTTCTTCTTCTCCATTTTCTCTCCTCTTCTACTGTCTACGTTTCTTTTCTTTTTTTTCTGAAAATTTTATCTCCTCTTCCCAGTTTTTTTCGAAAATTTTATCTCCTCTTCTTCTCCATTTTCTCTCCTCTTTTCAGTTTTTTTCAAAAAATTTATCTCCTCTTCTTCTCCATTTTCTCTCCACCCATCTTTTTATGCCCTAAAATTCGTCCCATCTCAACATACCCATTCATGTTGTTGAGGTGGTGAGAAGATTGGGACGATAATACAGTGACTTTGTTGTGGTGTTTGTTTTTTTGAATTTCGAACGGGCTATGGCTGTTTGGAAAAAAGATCCAGTGGCCATGGTGGATCTGTGAATCTGGGTTGTGTAGTGGTGTGAGTGTGGGAGTAGAGAAGGGAGCAAAAGAGAGATAGAGAGGTTGGGAACTGGGCAGTGGCGTGGGGGTTGGGCTGGGCAATCCCTTTCGAGTTGCAGACGCTGTCGAGACGCGGGTTTCACTAAGACCACCTAATGAGGTGTTTTTGGTGGGTTCGGGATCACCAATCCCGCTTAAGCTTAGAACCACATGAAACAAACATGTGATAAATTATTATCCAAGCCAAATCCAAGCCAAGAGGTGTAACAAACGAACAGCTTTTTGACTATCTGAGCCCATGATGACTTTGTAAAGAGTCCACGGAATGTGAACAGTGCCAGTACACAGGGCGAGTATAAGTATTCATTCGAAACACTCGCTCCAAGAGCTCTTCCTCATCAAACACTACTTGCTCTGACCTCTGAATTTTACTTTTCCGGTACGGAGAAGGTCATTCCATTCGATATAAAACCGTCAGACATTTACAAGAGTAAGTAAGTGCACTTCTTTTACAAGACCCAGAAAGAAATCCAGTAACTTTACAAGTGTTTGATTATATATACATGTTGATGTTGGGTTCTGATGTGCATGCTGTAGATTTAAGGCGGTTGCGCGCGGGATGAATCGTCAAGCAAGCAATCCTGTCGGTGTTAGCGGTCCTCCTCCTGCAGAGGCGTGAGTCTACATACATTCATACATTCATATATACATCACATACTACTTTGCAAAAGGCTTTAACCTTGAACCCAGAGCCGGCCCACAGCCCGCACAGGGCCTTCTAAATATAGGGGCCTCCAATTTTTCCCTTTTTCGTCTCCTTTCTTAAATTTTGGTCAATACCTTTTCTCCTCCTTTTTTATATATTTTTTATATATATTTTTTAATTTTATGAAAAGCCATTTTCTCCTCTTCATTTTGTTTTTTGGTCGAAAATTTTATCCTCAGACAAATGCCATCTCTTTTTCTTCTTTTTTGAGCTATCTCCCTTTTCTCTCAAGAACCATTGAAGGTGCATCCCCTCTTCTTTCTTTCTATTTCTATTTCCATTTTTTTTCCTCTCATCTGGAAGGTAGTTCAAAATAATTGAACTGGCAATTGTTCTCTCTTTTTTTTCTGTAGTTTAGTTAAGGTCGAATGTTGAAATCACATTTCATAACAAAAGTATTTTTTTTAGTACATTGCTACGGGGAGGGGGAGTTTTTATTTGACATTGTTGAAAGTTTCAAATCAGGTTATATTGTTCTTTTTTTGTTCTGATGTATGTTGGGTGGCCAAATTAGGGCCTCAACATCTCTCTTTGCACAAGGCCTTCAAAATCAATGGACCGGCTCTACTTGAACCTTCCTACGTAAATTTTGCAAAGTTCTATATCTCCGGATTAATTAATTTCTAGCTATGATCTATTATTTATTATGATAAATACTGCTCATCATATTTTTTTTCTTACTAGTTAAAGATTACATATATAATATAAATAATCCTTTATTGCAAAGCCAATAACATTTTCTCTTTAATTGTAACAGCACAAGCAAAGAACCTTATATAAAGGCATTGCATAAATATATAGTTTCTCTCATCTTCATGCTAGGCGTGTTTCTCCAACTGAAGCAGGAAGCCGGAATGACATCTTTATTTGACACAGACTACCCGACTTTTGTGATCCTTATTGTTGCTCTAATCATTTACGGGGGCTCGTTGATTGGTTCTACATACATACTCTACGTTGACCTTAATCCAGATTTGGCAAAATTCATGAGTAACATTAGCCTCCTTTTTGGAGCTCTTGTCTTGGTTTTGGAATTGGTGACCCTTGTCCCGAATTTAGGGTTAGGCTTCCTCTTCTTTTGGGTCAGTTGGTTTGTGAGCTTTGTAGTTGTTTACTCGTCCCCATACGTCAAAACATTGTTTACAAGTGCGGTTGAAGGAGTTGTTCAGGCGTTTGAAAATTTGAAAGAATATCTAAACACGATCATTGCCCGATTCACAATGAAACCAGAGGAGCAAAATGAGTTGCCACAAATAAGTTAGTTATATATACCAAGCTGTAAGCCAAATCAGTTTGCTTCAAATCTTTCTCTCTGTGTTTGGCCCAAATTGTGCTCAAAATAGGCCTTGTTAAGTCGTACTCGTTAGGTTTTCATTATGTTGTGCCTCAAAAGAACTTTCTTTCTTTGAAAGAAAGGGATCAATAAAAGGAGAATTCCAAGTTTTCAAGTAGCAAACTGAGTAAATTCAAAATGCATTGACAAGTTTTGAATTTGGGGCCGTGTGGAGCTTTTGGTTTTTGATTGCTGTGATTAAGTCGTAGCAATGAGAGTGCAGTTGTTTTAAAAAGATTGCATCAGTGTGCAGTTGAGTGGCCATGGCACCTCCCCCACATTTTTAAACTGTACTCTAATTTATATGATATAATATGAAACAACATCACAACGCCTTTCAACATATTATACATGAATAACTTAAAATTACTTTTTATTATATCATTTTTGAATACTTTTATTTATTAGTCTTTCAACCTTACAATTGTTCATGAATACATGCTCCACCCACCCACCCAAATTCCAAATACACCCAAGACACTCACAATGGCTAGGCCTGCAAGTGGGCGAATGTTAGCTGGCCTCAGTGAGATCCAGCGTTCGAATCCCACCTTGTGAAAAAACATCCCCTGGGGAGAGTCAAATCCGTTCAGGTCTACGACTCGGAGTGGTTGCTCACTTGCTATTACCAAAAAAAAAAGAACAAATCTCAAGTTCTTTGCTCACAAAGGTGCAGAACACATTAAGACCGAATACAAGGAAATAAATTTCTACAAACACAAGGAACAAGTGGGAAGAATCTTGCGTAGTCAAAGAGAACTTTACATCACACCAAACAAAGAAACCCTTTCGTGTCTTATTTTGCTTGAAATAAAATTTAGTATTGACCAAAAAAAAGAAAGAAAAAAGAAACTGACCAAGAGTATTTTTTTTAGTACATTGCTACGGGGAGGGGGAGTTTTTATTTGACATTGTTGAAAGTTTCAAATCAGGTTATATTGTTCTTTTTTTGTTCTGATGTATGTTGGGTGGCCAAATTAGGGCCTCAACATCTCTCTTTGCACAAGGCCTTCAAAATCAATGGACCGGCTCTACTTGAACCTTCCTACGTAAATTTTGCAAAGTTCTATATCTCCGGATTAATTAATTTCTAGCTATGATCTATTATTTATTATGATAAATACTGCTCATCATATTTTTTTTCTTACTAGTTAAAGATTACATATATAATATAAATAATCCTTTATTGCAAAGCC